TATACAAAAGTTGGATAAGTCTCCAAAAACTTGATCCATTTTCCTCTAGAATATTGATGGTGCTTGCTTAAGTCCAAAAGGTAAAACCATCCATTCAAACAATCCTTTCGAACAGGTGAAAGTCGTCAAATGAATACTTGACTTCGCCATCTTGATCTACCGAAATCCTGACTTTAGATCAAATTTGGAGAAGATTTTTCCAAATCTAGCTTTATTCAAACAAGCCGATTTGTTTGGTATCTTATAGGCATCGTCAATGGTTTTCTCATTCAATTGCCTATAGTTGATAACCATCCGCGCTTTTCCTCTTAATTGCTCAGCTCTATTCATGACCATGAATGCTGGCGAAGAGTGTGGACTTTTACTGGCGCGTATCAATTGCTTTTCCAGCAATTCCAGTATTTGCTTACTGAATTCCTCCTCTGTATCGGGAGTATAAGGAAAAGGTTTGGTCACAATCTTATCATCTTTCCTTTTTAATTCAAGTGAAGCATAAACACCGTTCCTTTCCCATAAATTTAATGGTTGATCATCAAAGCATGGAAAAAGTTCCTCTTTAAAAGAGTTGACAAGTTCTTCAATCCTTAAAGAGTTTTCTTGGCTCTTGTTTTCAATTTTCAAGATGTTCTCCTTATGTTTGAATTTATCCATGCTCTCAGGACATGCACCAGAGGGGTCAACCTCCTGCGATATATCCCATGCGATCCGGTTTATATGATGACTAGGATACAGTCTTTGAAAGAAAACATTACAAGCCTCATCCACTTTTTCTGCATTAGAAGTTTTCAACCACCATCTTTCCTTTTCCAAAATCTGGAAAACAATGTGATCTACTTCTTGCCTCAGTCTCACCGGTCTAAAACCGTTTCTGATTTTTGAAACTTCAGGCTTAACAAGAATAAGGATTTTATGTCCTCCGAGGATAATGTGGTCGTTATCCTGAGTAAAAGGTCTAACTTCTGCTTGTCCTCGCAGAAAGCTATTTCCGAGAATAAAATCTACCTCTAAGTAATCCACTATTAAAACTTCCCTTAGAGCGAATTCTTTCTCGTTTAACAGTACAACCACGTTCTTTACCACATCCGTGATCATACTTTGGCCTTCATCCGCAACCGTATTTAGGATTGGTTTCTCCAATGATTTCCAAAGCTCCTGTGGAAAGCACTACTTCCTTGCAATACATTTGGTTGCTCTTGTGTCTACAAGAACATCCAGAGTATATTCTTCATATTCTAGAAAACATAGTTTTGCACGTATGTATGTATCAATAGTTCCCTGAACTATCGCATGACAATGCATTTCATGACTCATCATCATTTTTGTGCTTGGAGTTTCGTCTTCATATACGGGAATTTGCACAGATTTATACCCAACTATTTTCCTGCTACCGCTACTTCCGGCATCACTAGCAGTATCATATGTTTCCAGTATATTTTTCCTTGATATAATGGGTTGAACCTCTTTATTCTGCTCTAGAGACTCTGAGTTTCTAGCCGCAGGGAGAGTAACCTCAACCTCATTATCAAGTTCTTGGATTTGAATTCCCCGATTTGGGTTTAATTCCACCATGCTGGGCTGCAGTGAATAGTCTAAAACCCATCGTTTCGGCCACATAAGAGCCTTCGCGTTGACAACCGTAGGGCGAATTGGAATTACAGAATCCTGTCCCGGGCCATGAACCTCTATATCTGCACCAGAGTTCATTCATATAGGATTAACAGAATTTATCAAACGATAAATCAACCTATACTGAATAGCTATTCTGTCACTAGAAGCCATCAAGTCTTCTAATCCCGAAGTATGAATTCGAAGAACCATAATCCATTTAAGATTTGGATCCGTAAGACTAACCATATATCCTGGTTTAACAGTCCCATAGGCATCTCCTAAAGCTAAATTAGCGTGAAAACCGCCAACTAAAGCTTTGCTAAATGTAAGCTATCGTCTGTCCAATAAAGCAACCTGAACAGGTACATTCAGTCCTCCACGGAATAGTCCCTGCACATGAATTTGTACAGCACCAAGTTGTACATAGTTATACTTGCTATTTGCCCATTTGGCAAGGTTTCTAACCTTCTGTAGCCACTCATCATCTGAGAGTATTAATTCACCCTCTCGAGACTGAGATAATGCTACACGAACAGGCTTTTCGTGAACATCTTCCAAGCCTTCAGTTTTGAAGAACCACTTAGAGCGTTTTTCAAAAACTTCTCTAGGTGTTAACCGCGGAATTACCTACGTCTCTGGGCTACCCGAGTGATCCTCGTAATTAGATGATGAACTAATTACCGAGTTAGGGTTTGCATCTTCATTTCTAATTAGAATGAGATCATCCTCATTACCAATTCCGCTGTTCCTATGATATTCATTAAGACTTCTAGACTTTTGCATGAATATACCTATGCGTTGAAGATTTGAAGATTGTTCCTCAAAAGAAATATCCGTTGAGTCATCCTCTGAAGAATCATCCAAATCGTCAGAGTAATCCGAAACTAATTCATAAACTTCATCATCTGAATTAATTTCGTATCCCCAAACTGGCTCAAATTCAGAAGTTTGGCTATCCGCATTGATTTTCAAAAATCTTAACGCTGCTTTTTTCTTACCCTTATGAGGGCATTTGTCTGCAAAATGATTTTTGTCACCACAAATCCAGCAACAATTACAATCTTTTGCGTTCTTGCCAGATGGGCAGATAGCACAAAACTTACGCACTCCGTGTTCCTTAGCGTTAAGTCTACCTTTCCCTGTGCGCCTAATAAACCTTTCGTGATCTGGAAGATTCTGTTTATTAGTAACAGGTCGTTTTACCATATTACGAAAACGTTTTGGCTTAAAGTGCCTTTTACCGAGTGATCCTTTTCGTTTCATATGGTTTTTCCAACCTTAATGTTTAGTCGAACTCCTCAACTCACAACCATATTGCCCTGGCACTCCATCAAAGTTTTGACAACAAGATTCGTTGAACTCAAGCCTCTTAGCTTCCTTATTCAGCTTGGCGTTCAAACATCTTGTCCTCACAAGTTGTCTAACAGCTTCTATTCTTCCTCCCAAAGAATCAACAACCTGATTCTTTTCAAGTAGAAGCTTAAACACCTTGTTTGCTGCCTTATCCCATCCTTGGGGAAGCTTAGCAAAGAAAGTATTCTTCATGACTTCCTGTGTTCCACCAGGCAACTGATAAAAATAACGTCTATATTCACAAACGAAATTTTCAAACAGACACATGTCACAAAGCCTAAGCTTTGTCAAAGCTTCTAAGGCAACTACCTCCGCGAGATTCCTACTGGTAATAGTTATCCCAGTAAATTCTCTACAGAGCATATCCTTGAAGAGTGCAAAAATAGACTTTGTATTCTTCAAGTCCCTTACAGTATCTAATAGACCCGTACCAGCTTCTAAACTTCTCCAAAAGCTTCCTGCAGTGTAGATCTTAGAAACTTGTAAGTATCACTGAGTCCAAAATTCTTGTTTAGGATATGAACCCAGTTAACAGTTTCCCATGCTTCGATTGCATCCGTTACATTCGTAACACAATCCATATTTAGGAAACTTCCGCTAGACGGTATCTCCACCATTCTAGGTATTCCCCTAGGTATAAACTCTGACCTTATCTTTGTGGCATAAGTTTGTTTATATTCGGGTTTGGAGATTTCCTTAAGGAATCCTTCGAAAGAATTTAAAGGATTACGAATTCCTTCAAGGGGATCATCTTTAAACTCAGATTCCCTGAGTCTCGAGATTAGCTCATCAAGCTTCGCCTTTTTAGAACCTGGACCTGGAGTTGGTTTTGATCCTTCAGTTTCTTCTCCTTTCCTTTGTTTCTTCATTTCTTCCTCATAATACCTGCTGATTCGCTCAGCATCTGAGGTAGAAATTTCTGGAATATCAATCTTTCGTTTTCCATCCACCTTAGAAACAAAGTCTTCTTCCTTAACACCTTTCATAAAGAGTTTTTCCGCCTTTTCCCAATCACCTTGGGTTTCCTTGGCTACAAACTGTGCATATCCTGGAGGCAATCTGGGATATTTTTCCTGCAAACTAGCCGCGAACTGATCCAAAACATCTTGACCACCCATGGTCAATCTGAATCAGGTCTCAACTCAGTTGCAAAGTCCGACTCTTTATAAGGTTTGGGATCTGGATCCAACTGAGATTCGCCGTACCAATAAGGAATTACCGCCTCAGCTTTTTCTAACCACTTATTCCGAAGTTCTAGCTCAGAGACTTCAATGGTGGAAATCCGGCAAATAAAACACAAAATCTTTGTGCACCCTTGACTAAAAGCCTTTTGAATAACATCCAAAAGCCGCTTAACACCTAGCCAAGTCAAATACTCTTCTCGAATATCTGGGTTGCCGTTACAGAGGTCTAGCACAACCTGTTTAACCTCTTGTTCAGTATATCCTTCAATAGGCCACACTTGTTCGATGTCACTTAAAACCAGAGACATCTCCTATCTTACCAGCTTAGTAAAATAGTTAGAACACGTTCCAGTGTTTTAACCTTTTGAAGTACAGAATTAACCTTTTCAATCTGATTTTCGATATGGGTTAATTCTTCGTTTAGAGTAAATATACGATACACCGTATAATTCACTCTCCTATCTAAGTTTTCAAGCTTCTGGGTCAAAAGCTCTAACTTATCTATGACAGTATTTAACAAACCGATTTCCGGTTTTACCTTGAGTCCATGATCCAAATGAAAACAAGTCTTATTCATACAGACTTCATCATTCAAATCATTATTCATGCTACCAAGAACTTTCAACAGGTTAACAGGTATAAACACATACCCCCCGTCTTCCAAAGCTCTGATACCATTTACACCCAACATATAATATTTGTTATATCCCCTAATTATATTTAATTAAACTTAATAAAAAATAAGGTTATTTAGTTAACATTTACAAACTAGATAGCCTTTTAATTAAATTTTAACTCTAAATGTCTTTTTAATAAACCGCGTCAATCAAAACTCAGCTCTCTTTTTAAGCAAAACTTAAAGCAGCTTTTCCACTTTCCGCGGTTTATCGAGCAATGTCTCGCGCTTCAGAGACAGAAGAAGCAACTCAATCTCGCGAGAAGGCGTTCGGCCTGCCGTGGCCTGATCTCAACGACGGTTTATTCTACAGCGACGTCATTTCTCCCTCCGATTCCAGTCTCTTCTTTACTTCCTTTGATTATTTTTTTCCCTATTTTTTATTTTCAAAATTCTGCTTGTTTTGAAATTTGACTCCGGCTTTTGGTTTTTGTTTATAATCACAGAATTGACACTGATCGAGTTCTACTCTACCAAACACAAGAACTCAGCTCCCTTGCAAGGGTAATTCACTTCATTGTTATTGTTTTATTATTTATCCTCTGTTTGGTTGCTGAGAAAACTGAAGAAAATTTATTGAAAGAAAAAAAAAATGTAACAAATTGATGTTTATTTAAATGACTTTGGTTGATATGAGCTTTTGGCATTCACAGACATCTATATGGCATTAACTTGAAGTCGAACTGTGTTTGTTCTGTTTTCTTCGCAACCAAGCAGGCCATTACTTGGATTATTTTTTTCAAATTTATTTATTTACTTATTACAAGCTTTACTAATAATCGAGCAGTTGGTTGCAGAGAATTCAAAATGAACAGGTAAAATTTAATTTCAATTATATATATATATATATATATTAGAGAGTGTTTTAAGTGCTTTCTACAGAAGCACTCCCAAATATATCCTTTCATCAACTTTTAGTAGTGGTTGAATTGATTTACTATATTGTTTTGCTTGGTGGTCTCCAGATAACAATTGATGGTAAAGCTGTTTAAGATCCTGACATGATTCTCAGGTTTCGTGCTTGATGATTATTTTTAGATTTTGTTATTTTAATGTCTGGTATACTAAGTATGAAAGACGAGAAGTTCTTAAGTTGTTTGTTTATCAATCAAAAATTTCAGTGCTGGTTCAGAACTAGTATATCATAGGCTTCCTTGGAAAGAGCCTGATGCACCATACTTGCTGGAGGTTTCATATGAAGACAATGATATGGTGAATTGCTATTGCACATTTCTTTTTATATGTGCCTGTATATTCAATCACTTGTTTTCATGAGTTTTGACTATTAGATGCTCAAATTGGTGTATACTTTGTTTAAATTGCTTCATTTGATGTCTCTGTGTCATTGTTTGTACCCCAATGAAGTTTTGTATTGTATGAATATATTGGTGTCAATTTTTCTTTTGTTATGGTCAATGTGTCTAAGTTGTCTTTTATTAATCCTGTATTTCAGACTGTCTTCCTTTTGGCTTTTAGGAGATTATGCTTTTTATATATTTCTGTCTTCATAATTTTCTGGTTAATGTGTTCTGACGGAATGATTTTGTTTTCAGATTGCCTTAAATAAGCCTTCTGGTCTGCAAGTTCTGCCGGGAGGACTTTTCCAACAGAGAACTGTTTTAAAGCAGCTACAATGGCAGGCAAGCAAACAGAAGTCTTCACTGTCAAACCAAGAATCACACCTTGTTCCCGTACATCGTTTGGGAAGGGGCACATCAGGTTAGCTTAATGACTAACAAAATGACCAAGATAATGTTTCCCTATAAAGGTGGTTCTGTATGCTCTGTTTTTCTTTTCTTTTTTTTTTTTTTTCAATTAACAAATCTAGAGCTCAGAAGGAACATTATTGATCAAGGTGCATGTACTTATCACCGGTTGACACTGATATGGGAAAGATAAGAGAACAATGATGAAGCTAAGAACTTAAATTCGAAAAAAGTTGCTTTTATTTGTTATTCGAAGATGCCCATAGTTGAATTTAGATATGTCTCTTGACATGGTGGTATTGCATAGTCATCTGGTGTTGGTAAACAAAATTTATAGTGTAAACAGTGTACTGCCATAACTAATGATGGTTGGTAGTTTATTTCTGCCCTATCTGACAAATCAAACTTGATATTCCTAGACATCTAACATCCCAACTTTACTTTTTTAATTTTTATGTTGGTTATGTACAGCAATTAGGCAAATATTATTATTCTTGCCGTATTTTCAGTGATCTGATTAGTTTGCTTATTGGTTTTAGGAATATTACTTTGTGCAAAAACAAAGCTCGCAAAAACTTGCCTTGCAGCTTATTTTGCCGATGGGACATCTGTTATTGGTGCTAACAGGTAGCAGGAAAGCTTGCATCTACTTGCAGTTTATTTTTTATCGAATGTCTAAAAACCATGAAAAATTGGAACTTTTCATTTATCCTCGGTGTTTGAGCCTGTGAAAAAGCTACCTGGCGATCTGTCTATAACTTTGTAGAATTGATGGTTGTGATTTAAGCATCAAAAACTAATTCATATTTTTGGCTTACAAGTAGAGTAATTTTTAGAAAAATATTTAATTAGTCCCCAATGCATAACATGTCAATTAGAAATAGAGATCATTGAAAAGAAGTGAGAATTGAATCTGCTAATATCTCCTGAAAAGAGAAGCAGAAGTGTACTATCATTTGGTGCATAATTACATTTTCAAAATGATTTTCAGTTAGAGGAACTTATTATCCTGTTCCATGCTTCTGAATTGCTGGACCTGGGAATCAATTAAACAGATGCAGACTACTGCCTGGACAAAAGGCCTTTACTACCTTTACAAGCGTTATTTGTTTATTCTTTCTTTTTGAAAACATGATGAGCTCACCAGTAGTAAATAGTAATAGCTGTCGCACATATTACATTACGCAAAGAACCCCTCAATTACCATTTTTTCTCTTTTTTAAAACCTAAGTAAAATGCTTCGTATTCACATGTTCTTATCTAGTAATGTTGGAAAATGAGGAGAACATCTACGGCGATAAACCTGATATGGACCACATTTAGAACAACGGTCACTTAACTGACAGATTCTAAACAAAGAATAGCAGAATGACATGCTGCCCTTACAATCCCCAGTAAAACTAAAACCTTTATGTCTTTGGGGCCTTCCTTTTCATTTAGACATGAGAATTATTATTTGTGTTGCATTTTTTTTAAGTTCTATACTGATTCAATCTATTGTAGCCATGAATAAGTACAACTCTGGATGCATTTTGTTTTAAATCATTATATCATTCATTGATTAAACCTACAATCCTCTGGTGTGCAGTGATATGAACATGGAGCTCTGTACAAGGAAAATTTCAAAGATATACCGGGCACTAGTAAGTGGGATGGTTGAGGAGGATGAGGTAACAACACGGCACAACATCTTTTTTGGAATTTCTCAATAATGTTTTGCCAATACATTTTGTATCTTAGCTAAGAGTTGTCCTTGTACAGGCTACTAAATTAGAAAACCATCTATATCCACTCTTTTTGTGTATCTATAACATTGTTACTTGAACATATTTTTATGTAAATTAGAACTTGTTTCTGCATCACAGATAATCATCAAGCAGCCAATCGGAATTATGCAATATCCTGGTGTGGCCAAAGGGCTGTATGTCGCTACTCCTTCAGGTTTATCAATTTATTGAATTTTGTTCAATGAATATAACTTCTATCTAGTTGCTGGACTGCAGATTTAGAAATATAAACATAGTCATTTTTTTCTGTTTTTGAGCATGAGTTATATTGTACTAGTCACCATATTCATCCAAGTATTACTGTGTCATTCACCCTCACAGTTGTGCTTTGTTTTTGACTTCCTTTATCATTTACATTTTTTTTCTGTCCCTTATTGTTTTCCGCTTAAGCAGGGAAACCAGCTCTGAGCAAAGTTAAAGTTCTTGAGAGAGATGTGCAAGGAAACCGAACATTGGTCCAGGTACCCCTTCTGCTTCATTTTGTTATATCATCAACCTTCATGTTACTAAGTATTAGGAGATATTATGGAGGCTATATGATATTTGTTAGGGGTGGGAAAATCCGGTTAACCGACCCGGTTTTTCGGTTTAGGCAAAACCTGAACCAAAACCGAACCGGTTATATTAGTAAACCGGTTTTGAACCGAACCTAATATTCGGTTCGGTTCACCGGTTAATCGGATTTAAACCAGTTTTGTAAATCACCTCTTAGCTGACAAGCCTTACAAAAAGCATCTGGCAATTTAACAAAGTAAAACCTTCAAAGCATAAATTTAATCAGCAACAACTCAACCACCAAATTAATCAATCAAATCCAACCCACTATAACTCAAACAAAACCAAAAACAATCAAAACCCACTTCAAATACAAACAAACAGAAAGAGGGAGAGAAGTAAATTTCGTTTTTTTGCGTCAGATTTGAGTGCCCATTTGGGGATTAGCTGCAGATCTTGGAAATGGTTTTTGGGTGTTTTGTTTTATTGGTGTTTTGATTTGTTGTTGCGGGTTTTGTTTGAATTTGGGGATTGGTTTTGGTGGGTATGGTAGATCTCTTTGGTTGGGGTTGCTGATCTAGAATTTCAGTGTATTGTGAAAGTTTTGGTTCTGATCTTTGAGATGGGTGATATTGTTGGAAATTTGATGTGGGTTTGGTTGGTTTTTGTGAAATTTAGTGAGAGAAGAGCTGCGTGATTCATAAGAGTTTGATGAATTCATTGCTTCAAGAGAGAATGTAAGGAGAGGGAATGAAAGATTGAAGATTCATTTGGATCTAAAATTTTTTAAAGCATGATTTTTGGTCTAACGCTGTTCATCGTTCGTGGTGGTTACTAATGCTGTGGTTGTCACTGTTTGCCGTTCGCTGATGAGAAAGAAAGGTTTAGGATGTGAGAGTGTTAACTAAAAGTTGAGAAAGGTTGAGGGTGGCGGTGAGTTAGAAGTTAAGTGTTACATATACCTAGGGTTTTTTTTATTGGAAACTGGTTTTAAAATCCGGTTTTGGTTAACCAGTTTGGAGAAACCCATAAACTGAAAACTGAACCAGATAATTGGTTTATGAATTTTTCCAAACCGAACCGGCTTTTAGAAAAACCTAATTTTTGGTTCGTTTTGGGTCCGGTTTCTCGGTTCGGTTCAGTTTTCGGACTTTTTTTTTCACCCCTAATATTTGTCATGAATAGAATGTCCTCATTCAATTGTTCATCAAGAAATTTAGGATGTCCTTTGCATTTTCCTGTAACTAAATACAAGTGTCCTGATCTGTAAATGTGTTTAACAGGTTGCAATTCAGTCTGGCCGGCCACACCAAATACGCATTCATCTTGCTTTTGTAGGGCATCCTTTAGTGGGTAAAATTTGAAGTCTTGATATCTGTATGGTACTGGTTATTGGATGACATTCCAATTTTGTATTTGAATCATGTCATCACTTCCAATAACACTCTCATGTCAATTTTAGCATTAAATGAAGACTCAAAAACTTTATAGGATTTATGCACCTGGATGACATTAAAGAAAAAGGACGAAAATGGAATTAAAGATTTAAAATGATTCTAGGCACAAGGTGATGGTGAACTGTAATGAGATAAAGAGGTAAACAGGGCAAAGCCAAAGGTTAAAATTTGTGATAACAGGGAGCTCACATATATGGTAAAGGTAAAACATGTATTTTTTTTATGCCATTTTCAAGATTAATTATATAGAGGAGACTCTTAAATGTTGAGAAGTTCAACTATAGTGGTTAAAAGTTGTCTGGATCGCTTCAAATTTCTGCCATATCATCATAATATTGCAAGTTATTTTTTCCTGTCGATTTTCCTTTTTGTTGTAATCACAGTTGAGGATTAGGTATCTCCTTCAACCATGCATAAAGTTTCTCACTTGGGAGGTTAAAATTTTATATCCTGTGTTCATGTTATGTTTTGTCTTATGTCAGACTCTGAAAGTTATTTTTACTTCTAAGCAGGTGATCCTCTCTATGTTGCTGGAGGCCAACCAAAGTCCTTTGACTCTGAATTTGCTAACGAAACTTTTGCACAAGATGGGTACATAAATACTCCTTACATGGATGATTTCTTCTTCCCAAACTTTCTTATCTTATTGTTATTCGTGAACTACTAGCAAATTTCAATTATTTTGATGTATATTCACTGCATATATAGAGTTGGTTCTTGGACCTTTTTGACCCATCTGTTTTTGAAAGCAAAAATCTAAGATTCATTGGGGGATAAAACAGTTGATCTCATAATTTTTATTTAAGTAGTCAAGTTCCTTTTATAAGATGCATTTTTTTCGCTCTTCATGCAGAGGGTATCCAAGGCCTCTAACACCTGTTCCAGGAGACTGTGGTTACTATTTGCATGCACATCAACTCACACTCTCACATCCGACCACAAATGAGGTAAATGCATAACAACCATCCAAAAATACTTGTTCCAGTTGACCAATCAGACTCAACATGTGGAAATTACAAATTGTTACTTAGGAGCATTCTGATATATGAATGCATATGCCTTTGTATGAACAAAATTATTTATGCCCAATGATGCTGAGAAATATCGATATTATGGTTCATCGAAATCCAAAAAAACGTGTTCTATCACCTTCTGTTGGTATATTATTTCATGATTTGCAAAGTTGAGTAACATTTGCCATGTAAATAAAAATTGCTAAGCCGTGAGATTATAGTTTTATTTATTTTCTATTGCAACAAATTTACTATCTTTGATTCCCAAATGCAGGTAATAGAAGTTATGGCACCTCTTCCATCCATCCTCCAAACACAGGAAGAGGCAAAGAAAATTACCATTCATTAGAAGATCAGTTAGGGATGTCACCACAACCCCTTATCTTTTAAAGGATAAGGCCAGAAGTGATGGATTGAGGTCAAATTTGATCGGTCTCTCTTAATGATGGGAAGATAGTTCTTCCTCACAGATCACATTCAAAAGCAGACACAGGTTCAAGCCATTCATGTGCCAAAAGAATCCCATATTTATGGTAATCCCCATGGTCCCATATTTTCTACATAAATTTTAAAATGACAAAACAATATATTTTTGGGCCCCACTACAGTTTTTGGTCGGAGTGTTGGACAACCCAGTTAGTCCACATTTTTTAGGTGTCAATACAACTAATTTTAAAGACCCGGACAGGTACTCTGCATGATGAGCCACTTTGTATGGTATGTTGTTTTGACTAATTTTGAGGAAGATTTGGTGAAATGCCAGATAAGGTAGGCTGATAAATTTTACTTCTGCTTTAGTGGTAGACAGCTCGGTCGACTTCCAAACTTTGTCAAAATTGTTAGGCAGATTCGGAATTTTAAAATACGTCTTTGGGGATTCTAAATGTATCTGCCTTTGACTAAAAGCCAATAAACGACAAAGACAAATGATTTTTTTATTCTACAAGCAAAAGCAATCAAGACCCAATTATTGGCCGTGGTTAATAGAAGCCCCAACTGAATCCTGCGTAACCACATCTCCCTGTCGGATATTATTTCAAAAATTGAAAGGTAAACAAAAAGAAACTGAGATCGAGATTAAAGGAATTGAAATTTATAGGGACTATGAGAGCAACTTTTAGCTTTTAAGGTGTAGCAACTTTTAAGGTTTAGCAAAATGTGCTGAACAGAAACCGGGTATAGATGTTTAATGGTCTTCTAACTGGTAGGTGTTTTAAGAACCCCTCCTTCCAACTTTCACAGATTATTTCTGTATTTCCATCAAATACAACAAATACAAAGCTGCTGCAATATTACAAGCACCTAAAATATTTTACCCAAAAAAAGAAAGAGATCTGAGAAACTGTCAACTGCCCTATCATTTTTCATTGAACAATACAAAAACTATTATACAGGGCGCAGCAAAGATAAGACGTTTGCTGCGAAGGGCTTCTTTCCCAAGCCCTCAAAGAACAACTACTACCTGCCTATGTCCCCATTACTTCTCCAAGATTCTTCTTCCCGAATAATGCTCCCACTCTGCCCACCATACTGGTCAGCTTTAGCATAGTGCATTTTAATTGCTGCCACTGGATCTGAAACACCAGTGCATGGTCCACCTACAAGTATCCCTCCTCTTCCTACAACATTCACTCCGACCATCCCTCTCCCCGGCTGTGGAAGACTCGACAACGCTTCAAACCCATTTCGTCTTTGCATCTCGGAGAATAACAAGTCCTGCCTCTGCTTTACATCTACGGTAAATGGCTGTACTTTAGTACTATCACGACTCCTATACACCTGATAGTCCACTCCATTACTGCTATTAATTTCCCTTTGCGGAAGAACTGCGACACCATTAAAATTGCGCTCACTACTCTTGACCTGCAAAGCCTGCTGCTCCATTTTGGATGAGGACGCAGGATAATTGCCAAAGGCTGCAGGATACTTGGCCAGCAAGATGGCCGAATCAGGCAAAGATGGAAAACCAGTTTGTATTCTGTTCCCATCCCAAAAACCATAACTCCTCACAGGAACATTCTCAAGGCCTAGATAGTTATTACGATCAAACTTCAACATCTCTGCAGGGAGAGGAGCAGTGAATTTCAAATTTGATACCTTGCAGCTTTGTTTCTGATGATGAACCCCATTTTCTTCAGTCTCATGACTACCAGAATTTGGCTTCTGGGAAGATGAGGGATGACTAAGTATCTTACCAAACAACTTAACATCACCATTCTTGCATGGTTTATCTGTATCTGACAAACTACGTGAATGGGTTCTTCGAGGATCATTCTTTTGGTCTAAGTTTGGTGACAGAAGTGGAAGCTCGGGAACTGAAGCATGAGACATTGAACTATTACACTTCTGAATGTAACAATCCTGAGCCATATAGTGCACCCCATTACTCCTGTCTGACTTAGAACTGCCTTGAGCTTCAGAAAGTTGTCTGCAACTTATATCGCCATTCATCTCTTTCTTTGCAGGAATTTGCAACGGATACCCCTTGAGAATCTGGGGGTGTTCAACATGGTTCAGTACAGAATGCCCCAACAGGTTATGGTGATAGTCTTCACTGCTAACAGAAATATGAGCATTCTTATCTTTATTCCCCTGAAAGTCAAGTGTGGTAGACAACCTATTTTGTTTGACTGTTTTTTCACATTGACTGGCAGCAGAATCTTGTGACACAGAAGCTACAGGAGCAAAAGAATTCTCTGGTGGCAATGACATTACATGAAGCTTATCCCCACTATCTGACTTCCGAGGAACAGAACAAGAACTTGTATCTACAGCCAGATCGAAAATATTCCCAAATGCATTTGAACCTTGCATCGTATCTGTGTCACCATTTCTATCGGCTTTGCATACTTTATAATGCTCAATTTGACCCTCCAAACCATTTTCAAATCCCTTAACAGGAGCCTCAGTAGTCTCAACTAAAATATTTAAACCTGACGGGCATGAATTCATGGCTTCTCTACTCGTAGCCGGCACCGGCACACCAACAGCTTGTTCTGTCATATTATCTTTCCCACCTTCCTTCTTAACCAATACAACTGGAATTTTATGGGCCTGCAGTGACTCGGACTGGCTATCAACATCATCTATTCTCTTTCTTTCCAATTCAGAAACTACCTCAAGATTACGCACTATCTTAGATTCATCAGAAACCAAAGGACCTACATCCTTGGAACCTTGATCATCAAGGAGTCTCGCCCCATTGTCATCCTCTGATTTATTCAGGTCAGTTTGCATGTTCATGGTTTCCATATCAGATTTGTCCTGATTTTTGTAGACCCCAGAGGATGGCAAGTCATCCATTTTAGAGTCCACCTTATCACTGCAAATAACCGAGCTAGTCTCCAAGACACATGCATCTTCTGTGTCACTCCCTCCACCATTGGCATCATCACTTACAGACGTTCCCGCAGTTCCACGTCCAGTATGAATCAAATCCAGTCCAAGGCACTTACGCGCCTTGCTAAAAAACACCTTGCATTGATCCCTGGACCTCGTTCTAACGCATCGTGAGATCATGACAAAATCCTTACCATAGGATGACACTGCCTGTATAAAGATGGATTTCTCCTCATCTGTCCAATCAGCAGGATCCATCTCCCCACAACTCTCATCTGAGCAAGTGTCATCATCAACATTCTGAGTAACATCAGATGTTGAATGCCATCTCCTAACACAATCCATTTTCTGGTGCTTCCACTCCCGTTGGCCCTCCCCAGGATCAACAGAACTTGTGATGCAAGAACTCATTGCCTCAGACGACAGCGAACCACATATTCCTGCTAAAACATCTGCAGCAGCTGTTTCTCTCTCATTCCCATATACATCAAAACTGCTTGACCTTTCTGTCATGCCATCATCACCCAAAGATATTTTTGAATCACTGCACCCTCCCAAAGAGATTCTACCAGAACACAGCCGCCGAACATTGTCAGCTTGGAATGCAGCTGCCATCTCAGAAGCTTCACCCAATATATCAAGGGATGCTGCATTCATCTGTCGATCCCATTTTTTGCCTGATGGAATTAAGTAAGTATTAGCACATGGCTTCACTTGTTCAGACGTTTTCTTTATTTTCTCAAAACAATCAGACTTGTGGTTTTTATAGTAGAACTCAACACAATCAGCAGTCGTCTTATAATCAAGAAATGTAGCAATTTTCCTGAAATCTTTCCCGACAGTGGCTAACTTATCCATGAAAATCTCCCTCTCTTCCACAGTCCAGGGATTGATCATAGCTCTTTCCTTCTCCACAGCACACGGATCTTCAACCAATCCATTACTAGAGATAAACCTTGACACCATCTTCTCCTTCTTGTCCAATATCAATGTTGGCATCTTCAAAGAATCCCTATAAACCTTGATCTGGGAATCTGAAAGCAGTTTGCTAGTGAAATTAATTATCTCTGTGGTCGGAACAAGGCTTAGATTTCCTGTTGCTAAGACAGTAAAAACAATGAACAGTAAAATTTGGTCAGTACTAGTAATTTTTATGAATGATTGCTAAGGAAAAGAAAAAATGAAAGTCATGGTCGACACCAAAATTAGCATTTAAAAAGAATTCATCTACCATCAAAAATTAATTAGAAAAAAAATATCCGTGAAACTATAATAATAATAATAATAATAATAATAAAAACAACCCAAAAGGAAAAAGAAACACTGAAAAAAATATAGAACATACAACAAATACCAGTGAATAAAGTACTTAAGCAGAGAATGTATCACATGGACCATTTCCATGTTTTATCATCATTTCCTATTGCAAACAATCTGATAACTTAATATGAACACCCAAAGCACGACCACATTAATAAACAGAAGCTTGCCCCACTTGATATGGATGTCAAAATAACCAAACAGCAACAAATGAATCACCGTCACCTTAGAAATTGTAAACAGAATTGTGTAACATGATATGCATTAAACATAAATGCATCTGAGGAAAAAAAAAAAGAATTGACACCCTGTCATGAAATCTTGGGACACTTCCATCTTGCTCTTCATGTATTACACTACCATGACTCCTAGCAAATGCTGCTAATCCTCCTTTATTAAGACTGTGCAGCAGCAGTTCATTCAAATTATTTTACATCCTGCTACTGAATAGAACCACTTCACTAATTAAACACCAAAAAGACCATTCCTATAGAAGCACATAGCAACTCAAATAAAACAGCACAGAAAAGCCAGTCCACCAACTGTCCTGGAGGTTGACTACAGGACCTTACAGACCATTCTCGTGACACTATTTTTATTAACATTTGCACCCACAGATGCTTGCTTCACATGTAATACAGCAAACTTTTCAGCTACTTTACTAAACACATTGCAGAGTCATGAATCATCCAAACTTTAAATTAAAAAAAATAAAAAAAAAATAAAAACAGGGAGAGACAGACAGACAGACAAAATCATCAATACAAGGAAAGAAAAATAAAAATGCTCTATATGCTATTCAGTAAGCATAACTCTATGGCAACAATATTGTAGCCTTCCATACTTTCCCCTATATTCCATCCACTTCAAGTCCTCACACTGTCAGAATACAGGTCAATAGGACATTCAGATGCCAGGTCTTGCAACTAATATAAACAGATAGTAAAACAAGCAAGAGGAATTCTATAAATGCATCAGATTAGGAAACAAATTTGCTTATACCCTTCTTTCACTTTATCATGCTTGTCGTCAGGCATTCACCAATAAAAATTTTACACCAACAGATCACAGAGACATAAAATAAAAATAAAAACACAAGCTTACATGGAAACCCTTAAATGTAAACCGCTATTAACATAAAACCAAAATCCTAAACCATCAAAACTAGAGTCTAGTGCATAATTATTAGACTAATCATATTTAGTTATTTACTATTTAGCTACCATGGAAACAACAAAAGGAATATAGAACTAACAACAAAGCAAAATCACCACTTGATCACCTTATATATCTCTCTTTCAATTATAATCTAGAGTTAATGATAAAAAATAACTATCAATGTTCAAATGTAAAAATAAATAAATAAATAGAGAGGGAGAGAGAGAGAAATTACAGATGTAATGCATAAAATATATCTCATATTCTTTCCAATTTGCAGTAACACCAACATAAACCATAACATTTCCCAAATGTAAGAAGTTTACAACAGTAATTCATCAACTAGATAAATCTTATCAGAACTATTCCACTGTCCTACATAAAGTCATTATCATCTAATAAAAATTGACACTTAATTATATTCAATATTTATAAGACTAAACAGCAAAAACAATCGAAGCATATAAAGAAATTGAGAGTTTTCTTACCAGGAGAAGAAAATCGAGAGCGAATAGAAGACCGGTGCTTCTGATATCCACTATGTATTGTCCTCAAGCTTAATTCACATTTCTTCTGAGACTTCACACGATATTTCCTTATTGAAAGTAAGCGCATATCTTCCTTCCAAAGATGTTGAAAGGCTTTAAACTTAAGAGTCAATACTCTCTCCTTAAATCTTAAAAATTGCTTCCTCTTTACAAACTTTTCTTTGACTGAGGAGTTGTCCTGACAACGCAAGACATTGGCAACACCCCAAACATGAACATTACAGTGATCTCTTGGCAATAGCTTATTAAATACTTCAGAAGCCCTATTAGCATATTCTTTATTGCAACCCAAAATTATATCACACAAATTTTCTCCATCAGCATATAGACTCCAATCACCAGAAACAAGTGCACCACAATCACTCTCTGCAACCGCAATGTCATTCCTGCCAGCAGAGGCACCAGTCACCTCTTCCTTACAGGAGCCAGGCGGTGTGCATTTAGGTTCAACGTTTTCTGACTGAATAGCATCCAAATTTCCAGGACATTCACCATTTTTAACCATGTCGGATGGAGACTCTTCCTTCACCTCAGTCAACGGTTCAACAAATTTAGAAGTAGCAGTTCCAGGACTATCTACATCCTCATCTTTAACATTAGCATGAGCTTCTTCCAAGACATGACTACAATCAGGCATCTTATCCAACAAACCTTCACCACAAGAATCAATTTGCAAAGGAGCAGGTCGGGCAATTAAATTGGAGGCAGTCCCCTGTTCCTTTAAATTATCTGTGTTGCCCTCTACTGACAAAGAACTGGATGTTGCAGGACAAGGACAACTACTTCCCAATTCAGATTTCAATGACTTAAGTTCAGTTTCCAGTGAATCAATTTCGGATTCGGTCACCTCCAGGGTCTTCAAAATATCGCCTTTCAATATAAGCAACTTATTCATTGCAGTAGATCGAACAAAACTAGAATCTAAAGTACTTGGATCATCAGGATGGAGAAATTCCATAAGAGAAGAGCCTAAATTAGATATTGAACTGCTATCCAACTTCTCTAAATTAAATAAAAATCCCTCAAGATGATTCTGAGACCCAATACTAGGTGAGCCACATAAATTACTGTTATCATTATCAACATTCGCTGCCTTGCTAAATGCTTTCTCCTCTACACCTGCAACGATTGCCCACATAGAATTCAAAATCGTTTGTTCAGACATGCAATCGTAAACATTGGAAAATGATAAACAGGGGGAGCAGGGTTGGTGGTTGAGTCTGTTGTGTCTACGTAACAATGGGATAAAAATCTTCAAGACACGTACTAAATGAAAACTAATTAAAAACTAAAGATATGCCAAAATTTAAGAAGATGGCTTCATTCAATCCAAACAAGTGGAGGGCTAAAAGATAGCCAACACGAGTGATGGGAATGGAAAATGTAAAGCAAACAAATCACAAATCATATGCTCACATTGCATGGAAAAGAATGGGGGAGGCAAAAAATTTACATGTTTTTAGCCATCATATCCAAGTACTTGACACTTACCATGAAATAAGTAACACAGGTCAATTAAGGGGATCGATCATTTTTTATATAATCCTTATAACTTACGTATCAACATCCTTACCGAGCCCTCTACCATCAGCTTGGAGTGAAAGGACATATTAGAGATTGATTTAGGTTTGTTGTACAAATTACATTCACAAACCAAAATATGAGAATAAAACAAACAGCATATTCAAGTTTTGGTTTGGTCAAAACCTAATATTGAACCAACTTAATTTTAATGAAAAGCAATGTAAGAAACAACAAACCTGACGAAGAACTGCAAGCAACAGAGGATGGAGTTGCAGGTGATGCACAATCTGACAAACCCATAACTCTGGGGCTTTTTTCGGCCAAGTTTGAAGAGAGAGAATGAGCAGGTTCTACATTACTAGTCAAAACAACAGCTCCATCTTTGTTCTCACTCACATCAGGACCTTCAACTTTTTTTTTCTCATACTTTGCCAATCCCTCACCCCATCCGAGACGAGGCTTCTTCCTAGAAGTAGTCTCCTCAGATGGCATAGCAGAAGTCACATAGGTTGCTGCATCCCCTGATGGAGACTGGACTGGAGTTGCATTTTTTGGCTGTAAATCTGCCTTCCCTTCATTGGAATCTACGCCACCCAGGCTCTTTGAACTGCTTGAATGGCTGAACCCTGAACCCCGGGAAGACAAACTTCCAGAACGAGTCCACTTAAGTGTTTTCCAATCCAGTGAATTCTGTCTCTCACATCTTTGGCCTGTGCCCAACCCATTGACACCACCCATTTTATTATCATGTTGATCTTTCAACTGAAGGTGATCCCATGTGTTTACAAAGTCAGATTGAGGATGAGATGGATACGTTAGCATATCATCGATTGACCTCTGATCATTACTCAGGTCTTGTAGCCTCCCAGGAATGTTGGATGACCCATTGCTCGTTTCCCATGAATGCCCTTTCCAGTCTTTCTGATTAAAAGAAACTTTATTTTCCCTACTATTCCGGACATATTTCCCATCACCACGCGAAACAGACAAGCGGGTGCTCTCATCTTCCAGCATCTTGTCACCAGTTCGAGACGGCATATAACCATGACAAGATTCTTCAGCAAACGAGTACCAACCTCCCTGCTTACCATGACCTTCATAAAATATTTAAACAAAAAGGGAAAACCACAACAAATTTAGACAAGCAAAGTATATATTCACCCAAACCAGGGAAAAAAAGAAGAAAGAAAAAAAGAAAAACAAGTTAAGAAACAATAAATCTACCCCAAAGAGATCTCTGACCAAGATAAAAATTCCCCAACAACCCAAAAGACAAAAAGAAAAAGGGGGAAAAAAAAGACAGAAAAGAAAACCCAGATCTAACGAGAATCCAAAATAAGCACATCTTAAAACACAACGAATCAGATCCGAAGCCACATGTCAAACAAATCATGACTACTTAGTTTCAAGCAAAGTCTAGTTTCGATGTCTCTCTATAAAATAAAATATGAATGAAAAGTGAATGATCTACGGCTACTCCAGAGCAAATTAACACTCATAATTGACGAAAAAAAGCTATTAAGAACTGACGTTACCTGGAGGTCTGCGATAGTCGACAGATCCCCACCGGGGGAGCTCGCGGCTGTGAGAAGAGGGCGAGGAGTAATCTCTCCATCTGGTCAGGGGGCCGCCGCCGCCACCTCCTAGCAAAGAGTCAGACGCCGTCCTGTCGTGGTGGTTATTATTGTTATGGTGCTTCCTCTCCTTGAAGAAGTCTTTCCGATCCTAAGGCAGTGGTTCTGGCGGCATGAAATTACAATTCCACCCAATCGCATCGGCAGGAAACACCAATTCCCCGCTACTCGCGTAACCAAACGCTACAATAACAACAATAAAAAGCGTCTAAATCACGCTATGCAAGTCCAAACACACCAATAAAAACCCTCCACAACTATATTCCAGCCAAAAAGCACCGTATCATAAACGACCGCACCTACTAATCTAGGGTTTTCAAAAGCTGATTAATGGCCAGATCGACCAAAAACTTGATAGGGCAGCAGCCAAGAACGAACTGTGGGCACCGAACCGAACCACACATACTCTAGGTTTTGTGCAGCATAATTGAAAAGAACACGAAAAAGAATTGTCAAAACAGATAGAACAAACCTGATATTCTCAAGATCGAAAGAGAACCGATAGAAACAGCTCACGAAATGTAAGCCCTGAACCGGGGAATACCTACGGTTCCGAGAGACTGAGAACCGGCGAAAAGTGATAGCAAGAACCTGATTTCAAACGAAGCCGTGATAAAGCGGCTGATGTCTAGGGTTTGAGAATCGGATCCGCCACGTCGGATGAAGATAGTTTTCTAGGGTTTTAACGCACACCTCTGTGTCTTGTAGTTATGGAGAGGCGGATTTTCTCGCGAATTTTCTCTGCCTTCTGTTGTTTGGAAGAAAAGAAAGTGAAAACGTTAGCCGATAGGGGACAAAGAGCGCCTTCACAGAGAGAGAAGAAAAAGAAAAGAGGGAGAGATTGAGAGAGGAAGCTATAAAACCATATTTGAATGTTATCTCGCGTCCGCGATTAAAATACTTGATTTTTTATTTATTTGTCTCCTTTTTTATTTAACTTTTTTTATTATTTTTTTAAATTTTGGCCCCCATCGTGTCCTTGTTATTGTTATTTCGAGAATGCCCTTGGATTAAGTGATTAATTACAGGCTAGTCACATCCGCTTTTTTTCTGACGGGTTTAGCCTTGAAATTATAGAATGACCCTTATTACGTGTTAGTCTGAGATGGCACTGCCTGTTTTGCATATGAATTTTAAAAATTTATTAATTATTACCAAATAATTAATGAGATTTTGTAACAAGAAATTGATAACAATAAAAATGGTTTCAAAGCCGCAATCTCAGACTTGAATTAAGAGACGTTAAAAATTGACAGTAGTTAAATATTTTAATTTAATTTTTAAAATTACAGTTAATGCAAATGGCAATCAACCATTTAAATTCAAACTTTAAATATATTTTTTCTTTGTGAGCAAGTAACTGACCTACCATATGTATTTAGGGTAAAAATTAGAGTTAGCTGACTTTTTTTTTCCACCCAAATAATGATTTAATAATATTTTTTTACCCACAAATTTTAAACTGTCATCTTACTATACAAATTTATATTCTGTTTACTATTCAAAAATTCAACAGCGAAAGGAGAGCAAGCTCAATCCAAGCCGTTAGGGCTTTTAAAGAGAAGAGGTCAGTGACTTTTTTGTGGTGGCAAATTGGATTTTGGTAGTCGTGATTGGTTAAAATTTGACTTTGGAGAGACGGTTATACAAACTCTAATCACTCGATTTTTTACAATTGGTGGGGTCGGTAGGAGCAACGTTAAAGGAGTTTTGGTGAATGAGAATCAAGGAAGATAATGGTGGTGGTATGGGACAGCAATGTTGCCGGAATCGATCAATGAGCGTGGTTCTGCCATTATTTAGGTAATAAAATGATATTTTAAAAGTTTGTTGGTGAGAAATGACCATTAAGTCATTATTTAGGTAGGAAAAAGTCGTTAACTCTAAAAATTAAGATAAATTTTATAAATGCAAATTTTTTATGTGAATTAAGTTGATAATTTAGGATTATTTAATTTTGAGTTTACATCTTGTAATATTATCTAGGCTTTCCATTTATAGGGAAAGAAAAAATAAATTTGAACAATCCAACCTTATCCATTTGAGATTGTGAAGCCTTGTGTTACTGCTTAATTTTGACACCAACGACTCACACGTGCAAAGTGCTAAACGGACTTAGAGAGTACACATAATATGAAAATATGCAATGAGAGAATAAATGAGAAACAGTTTTTAAAGTGGTTCGGATGCTCAAAAGCGAATCTTATGCCTACTGTGGTTGCATTAATAGATGGATACAGTCAAGTCGTGTGTGGCGAGCTAAGTTATAACATAGAGAGAATACAGAGAAAGAATGTGTATGCTTTTTTTAGACTAAGATAAGTCAATCTCGTAAATTATAGAAGAGTCCTTTATTTATAGTGGAAAAATTCGAGGTAATGATTACACGTCTACAAGTGGGTAGGTGTCATGCAAGTCCTTCCTTGCATCCCATTAGTTATCTGAACGAGAAATATATTCAAATTGCGTAGGGTTGGGGCAGGTGAGCGATCCCTAGCCATTCGTAAGCCTAGCATTCACCTGCTGCACTGACAAGAACCATATCTCTTCCATCATTGTATGACCTGGCAACGTCTGGATGGCATAAAACTTTCCTGAATCCTAATTGGCTCTTGCTGACGAGAGTCCACATCGCCCTTGGTTTTTCAAGCATAACACCTTGCATCAACATGGACCATTTATTACTAGGTCTAGTCTTTATAAAACTACATGCTTTTAAATAACGAGCTTGGAATTTAAATGTCATAACAAGGAATTTATTTTATTATACATATAATATGAATTTTTATAAAAAGAAAAAAAGACTAATAAACCGTATTTATAAACGTTTTGAGAAAGTATAAAGATACACGTAAAAATTATGGAAGTGAAGGTTTTACGAAAATCTTGTTAGTTGTTTAGTCACTAATAAATTAAAATATATATATATTTATATATAGTAAAAAGATAAATTAAGACACTATAAAAAAAAAAAAAATCAAATTTATAAATACAATATGCGAGTATTTTAAAATTTCAACGCTATAAACCCAATAAACTTAAATTTCAGAAGTGTTTATAAAAAAGAGCTTATTACAAGATCTCGATCATTTTTAAAATAAATGTCAAAATAAACACTATTACATTATAACTAAAGTTAACAGTTGGATAAATTCTCCAATGGTTATCCTTATTAAAAACTGAGATAAGTCTTAAATTTAAGGGTTGGGTAAATCCTCCAATGGTTATAGATGACTCAAACTCTAAACTTGTTAAATAATATACAGAAAGTTTTTAGTTCAATCGCTCTATCGTTCAGGGGTGGTTAAATATATGAAACATTATTATAAAGAATATGGTCAATGGGATTAATATGATTAAAACGCAACTTTGCATATATTAATAATAACAGAAAAACCATTGTCCCATGTGCACACAGGAAATCTAGAAGATTGCGTAACTTCATTGTTTTTTCTAAGCGAGAGTATCGTTTGTAGTTTATCCACCAATGACATTTTCCATAGAGTAATACTAGTTTTATAAAGATACATATAAAAAGGATATATAAAGATAATCCTTATCCTTGGTTTTCATGATTTTTTTCTTTTTCTTTTTTTCTTTTTTCGTTTTTTCTTTGTTTTTTTTTCTGAATGATGTCACTTTGTAGTTCTCTTTGTATAGGTCTTTGTAAGGATGCGATTTTTCTTTTCTATATCATGCTTATGCACATTTTTTTAATGCCCGGTTGCCCAGTTTCCCTATTATTGAATTCTGACATTTAGAAAACCTATTTTATACATCATGCCATTTGAATTAACAAATTGCAAATTCAATTTTATAAGAACATTTTCTAATATCAAAATTCTTAAAAATTAACTATATTTTATTTATGTTATTTATAATAATTACGATAAGCAATTATGAGGACTAAAGACCAATTATCTATGAATAGCCGAGTGATTCAATAAAGACTCTTGGGTGTATTACTCAAGAGGTCTTGAATTCAAATCCCTCTTCGATTACTAATAAGGATAACCAATGGAGCTTTTATCCGGTCAATAGTTTCAGAGTCCAAAGAATTAATTGAGATATGCGTAAACTGACTTGGACACTACCGATTATTAAAAAAATAAAAAAATAAAAAAAAAGGGGACTGAGGACCACAATTAGACTTTTACTTAAAAATTGATTCATGTGAGGCAAGCAAAATCTCAGCAGATCTAAATATAGTAATTAAAAGGTTTAAAGCAAAATTTCCTATTTATAAATAAAACAAAAGTTGGCAATTTCGTGGAATTTATAATTTTAACAATTTTAGTAAAAATTAATTAGAAGTAAATCAAGCACTAGAAAGACATAAAGGAATCCAAAACTTAGGTTAACTTCATATTTCTTTTCCAAAAAAAAAAAATGGAATCAAACTTTTCAAATATATGAAGAGAGATTTTTGTCACAAGTAAAGAATAAGATACTTAGGCTTAAAAATAGAGAAAATTGAAAAATAAAAAGATTATTTTTTAAATTAATACGAAGGACTTGTTTGTAAATTAGAGCAATAATGATGGTTTTTAGGGGAAAATATTTGCCCGCCTTTCGATATTTTTTTTGTTCAGTTCAGCCCGCTCCGAGATGGAGTCAAACCAGAAAACGACAAGGTGGTCCACGTAAGCTACGGCACGTGCCGCGCACATGAACAATCTCTCGCTTGGGCCTTGGCGTACTTGTTGGTTTGAGGCGTAACCGTAATCACACGTGCCAGAGCACTTACTTTAGTTCAGTCACTTAATTTGGCAATAACTCAGGTCACGCATCAACCAACGCGTGATATACAATTTAGGGCTTACGTGGCGAATCTATCGCGGCATCTTCTCTATCCGTCGGCAGCTGCGATTCCTTCTAGGAGTTTCCTTTCCATCCTGATTTTATTTATTTTCTATTCTTATTTTAACCTTATCCTCCTAATTATTTAAATATTCCTGTTTTGGGCCATATTTTTTTCTATATTTGTGATGTTGGCCCAAAGACAATTATGAATTTTTCCCACCCAAATAATGGTTTAATGAAATTTTTCCACCCAAAGATAGCAGATAGCAAAGTCAGTCAAGACTGTTAGAGCTTATGTAAAGAAGAGGCCGATGAGTCTCTAGGTGGTGAAAGGTTAAATTTTAGTAGTTGGGATTAATAGAAATTTGACTTGAGAGGGACAATTATACAAACTCTAATCG